AAGAGTCGCAGGTTTGATTCCAGCCAAGGGCACGTACCTCAGCTGTGGTTTGTCCCCAGCCCCTGTTGGGGTTGTGTGGGTGGCAACCAGTCAATGTGTCTCTCTCACATCGATGTCTCTCTCTCTCTCTCTCTTCCTCCCTCTCCCTCCCCCTCTATCTGAAGATAAATGTAGAAAAGTATCCTTGGGTGAGGATTAAAAAAAAAATTAAATACTTTATTTTTATCCTCACCCGAGGACATTTTTCCACTTTTTGTTCAGATAGAGTAGGAGGGAGATAGAGGAAGAGAGAGAGAGAAACATCGACGTGAAAGGGACACATTGAGTGGCTGCCACCCACACGACCCAACCAGGGCCGGGGACAAACAGCAACTGAGGTACGTGCCCTTAGCGGGAACTGAACCCGGGTCTCTCTGGACCTCAGGCCGATGCTCTAACCGCTGAGCCAAACCGGCCAGGGTGAATCATATACATCAACACAACACATATGTACTGATTACCACGAGTTGGGCCCTATTACAAGTGCTTTGAATTTCTTATTTAATCCTGACAGCTACTCCATGAAGTAGGATACTATCCTTATTCCTACTGGACAGATGAGAAAACTGAGCCATAGGGAGATTAAGTAACTTGCCCAAGATTATACAGCTGATGGGTGCGGACAGGGTGGTGCCTGGCTTTGAACCCAGGCATTCCGTGTTTTACTCCTCACCAGCCGCTCAAGGGCTTGAGAGGATAAATGAGAGAGCAGAGCTCCTGGGCACCTCCTGGAACTGCCCTGGGCACACGGGCGATCAGATCCAAGCCTGTAACTTCATTCAGTCCTTCCCCATCAGACACCAAGGACCCTGTGTGTGTCTCAGTCACAGGACACAACATGGACAGAGTGTAGATGGAGGGAGGAGAGGGACAATGTGAGCCAGCAAGTCAGTGACCAAAGAGACAGATGGTGAGAAGGTGACTAAAACAGAGTTGGAAAGAGACGGGAATTGGGTGATAGAAAATTCAGAGTGTGTGTGTTTGTGTGTTTGTGTGTTTGTGTGTGTGTGTGTGTGTGTGTGTGTGTGTGAGAACACACACACGGGCCCATGCAAACACACATGTGCTCACACGTGCTCCTCAGGGGAGCAAGCGTCGCTTGATCTAGAGGCAGCAGCCTGTCTCCACTGTCTCCCCCCTTCTGTCCATCTGTCCCCGGAGCTGAGCCTCTCCTCCCAGCGTCCAGCCGAGCCTTCCCACCCCAACCTGTCTCCTTTGCCTTCCCTGCCTTACCACTTACTCCCTTCTGCACCCTCCCTCTACCCCACTGAGTCATTCATTCATCTAAGAAGTATGTATGATCGTGCCAAGTTCTCTTCCAGGTACTGCTGGGAATGTGGTGAACAAGACAGGAAGACGGCCCTGCCTCCAAAGAGTTGACATTCTAATGGAGGGAGACAGACAATGAAAAATGAACCAGATAATTTCAGATTGTGCTAAATAGCAGGAGGGAGATAAACCAGGAGATGTGATAGGACAAGCAACAGGGGCGGCTTTATACAGGATGGTCAGGGGGGGCCCTTCCGGGGCTGACATTTGAGCTAAGTCCTGAAGTAGTCAACTGTGCCACAATCTGGGGACACAGAATCCAAGGCAGAGGGAAGAGTGTTCCAGGCAAAGGAGAGAGCATTCAAAGCAGGGACCAGCGCTCTGGGCAGAGGGAACAAGCGCAAAGGTCCTTAAAAGCTGGGTGAGCTTGCTGTGTCTGAAGAGCAGAAACAAGCCCAGTGCAGCTGGGGACCAACTCATCACTGAGGGTCCTCATGGTCTCTGTCCTCTCTCGCACAAACTGGCTACTCTTTCCTTGTTATCTCAGGTCTGCCTTTCAAAGCACTTACTGGCTGCCCATACTTGAGTGCCACACATGACTCAGTCCCTGCCCTCAGGGTGTAGGACTTGTCCTATAACAGCCCCCATTTCCCACCAGGCCGCTGAGTCAAGCCTCCCTCAGCAGACCTCCCCTTATTCCATTTCCCAGTCTCCCCATTTCCTCTGTCTCCTCCTTTCCCACTCCCCAGCCACCTCACAGCCTCTGGTCCACAACGGGTCTCTTTGTGCTTTCTCTCTCCCACCAACATTCTTATCTACCTCCCTTGCTCCCCCTCCTCTCCTCTTGAGCCCCCTCCCTGGGCCCAGTCCTTGGACCCTGGACACTAATCCAGCTGATTAACCCCAATTCCAGCCCAGCACCTCCCAGTTCCCAACCAAAGGTGTTTGGTGAACAGGAGACAGAAAACCCTGGTTCGATTCTGGCTCTGCCATGAACAGATGTGTGACCTTGAGCAAGTCAGGTTACCTGTGTGGCCCTCAATTTACTCTAAAATAAATTAGAGTCACATCCTGCCCATCTCAGGGGTTCCAGAGAAATAAACAAATCAGCTGTAACACACATTCACAGAGCACTGCGGGACACCAGGCCTTCTTCTAGGTACATTTTGTATAGTAACTAATTTCAACCCTTAGGATAACCCTGCAAAGTGTGAATTACTCTGAATCACACATGAAGAAACCGAAGATCAGAGAGGTTAAGCAACTTACCAAGGTCACACAGGAAGTAGCAAAGCTAGGGTTTGAACCCAGACAGCCTGACTCCCAAATCTGTGCCCTCAACTGCTATGTGATAAACATATCTGACAACCCCTCGGGAACTCTAAAGTACTGTTGGAAAGAGGACCAGGCCCCCGGGGCTGACATCCCCTCCCTCCACTGCCTCCCATCCCTTTCAACCCCTTAGAGAGCCCAGGCCTCCCACACCCTGCCGAGTTTCTCCTGCTTCCCAGCCTCCTTGCTTTTAACTCTGGCAGGGAGACCCTCAGCACTCCTTGCATCTGGCAGCTTCTTTCCTCTCCGCCCACCCCTCCCAAATCTCCAGTTTCCCAGAGCTATGACTAACACCAGAGCCATCAGCTCTCACCCAGCTCCCTTCGCCCCTCCACACCACTTCCCAACTCTCCCACCTGGCTGCCCCCAACAGCCCAGCAGACAGGATTCCTCACCTCTGGGCAGGGTCCCCTGACCCACTCAGATGAAACTTCCCACCCTCTGCCTCCTCCATCCCTTGTCCCTCCCTCCCTCTCTCTCGGAGTACACCACAATTCCAACACCTCACCCCAACCCACTTTCCATTTCTCTGGGTTCTGGAGTCAGGGACAGTCTTGGCATCAGGGGATCTGGTTCAAGTCCGGACTCCTCACTTGCTAGTTGTGTGACCTTGGGCGAGTTATTTAACCACTCTGGGCTTTAGTTTCCTCAACTATAAAATGAGGTAGTCTCTCAGTCTACCTGCCTCTCCAAGAGATGGGTGAAGGTCTGAAAGATTATGGATGGCAACCTGCTTTGGATGAAAACAGCATCTTAAGAGAAGGGCAGTTTACAGAATCAATGGAGTCAGCCTGCCTGGCTATCTTTTATTAGCTATGTGACATTAGCTAAGTGATTTAACCTCTCTGGGCCTCAGTTTCCTTATCTATAAAATGGGATAATACTAGTTCTAGCCTCCTAGGGTTGCTGTGACGATCAAAATAAGTTAATATGTATAAAACAGAACAGTGTCTGGCACATAAGTGTTGGTTATTTTTATTATTATTTTCCTGATGCCTATTTAGTAAGTTTAATAAAGAAATAAACCTTCAAAATTCCCTCCCTCAAGCACCAATTCCTCCTTCCTTCCCACTCGCCAATACATCCTTCCCCAGAAACAGCAATCACTTGCCTCCAAGCCCCTTCCTCTTGTCTTTCAGTAACCTGGTTCCCCACCCCAAATCCAGGGGGCTTGCCAAAGACAGAGTATTTTTACCCCCCTGTGTGGAGACTTCTGTTTCAAAGGCAAAAAAAAAAAAAAAGCAGAGACACATGTCAACTTGGAAACAGGAAACCTACATTCCAATCTGATCCTCCCACCCACCTGCTTGGTGACCTTGGGCATCTCTGAACCCCAGTTTCCTGATCTGTCTAATGGAGTTAATCAGCTGGGGTTGGTACTTTATCAACATAACACCACAAGACCCGACAAGACCCGAGTACACGCAGGTTGTCAGCTCTGCCTCCTGGAGCCCCAGGTCATTTCTCCAACCCCCCCACCCCCCGCTTCCTCCCCACCAAAGAAACCATTCTCTTCAAGCCCCTACTCCCCAGCCCCTCCAAATGGCAGCCTTCACCGCAGACACCAGTCACCCAAGCACAACTCACTGCCTCGCCAGACTCCTGGAGGGGGGCCTCTCCAGGCCTGCAGACCAGGGGCCCAGGTCGGCCTGCCCTGACTATTCAGGATGCTCCAGTCCCCCCCCTTCCCCCGCAGAGCACAGTCCATGTCATACAACCCAATTCTGTGGCCCTGTGCCTGGAACCTCCTCCCCTTCTCCTCTGCAACCCCACCTCCAACCTCTGGGGTCACCCCATCTCAGGCCCTGGCCCTCTGGCTGTCTCCGGAGGGAGCCCCTTCCCTCCTTGTGTTTGAGGTGCCCCCTTCCCATAGAGAGCAACACACACGTGTGCACACACACATACACACTTCATTCACTGCCAGATGTTGGCATCTCGGTCCCAACCTGTGTCCTTCCCCATAGCATTCCCCATTTCTGGGTCCCGCTAGACTCAGCCTGGCCCAATAACAGCCCCATCCTTCTAATTCCATAAATCTGCCGGGGGCTGACAGTAGCCTCCAATTCCTTCCTGATATCCACTCTTTCCCATCCCCAGGGCCCTCCTGGGAATGTGGGGTGTCCAAGGCCCCTGAGACCTCTCCGGCCCCTTGTGTCTTACCAGCTTCCAACCCCTTCCAGCCACTGTCCCCAAAATGCAGGTTCATTGGAGAACATCAGGTGCCCCCAGATATTGGGGTGCCCATGCCACCAACCTCGTCTCATATTTGCCCCCACATCCCAGCATCTGCCCCACTCCACCCCCACGCGCTCCCCAAATATTGGGGTCCCTCCCAGCATTTTTCCCACCCCCAAGCTCACACTCCGCAGCTCCTGAGTCCGATCCTTCATCCTGCGACGGCTCCTCCTCCTCGTCCTCCTGCCTCTGCTGCTGCTCCTACCTCCAGGCTCGGTGCTGGAGGCCGGGGTCTGGGGGCGCCGGGGGGCACCAGACCGCTGGGGAAAGCGCCGCTGGTGGGGGCGGGGCCGGGGGCAGCGGGCGGAGGGCCGAGCAGGGGCAAGGGCCTGGACCGGCTCGGCTCTGCCCGGGCTGCGGTGGCGATGCGGCTGCGGCACAGGCTTGGATGGAGGGATGCGGGAGCCGAGGCGCGGGGGAGGGGGGGTGGAGGGAGGTAAGGAGGAAGGGAGGGAGGGGGGAACCGGGAGGAGGCGGGGAGCAGGGGACATGCGCAGCACCCGGGTCTGGGGGCGCCTGGGGGTTGTAGTCCGGGGGAGGGGGACCCAGGAAGAAGAGAACTGGAGAGCCCTAGAGGGGGTGGGGAAGGGCAGAGCCAGGGAAGCAGGGAGAGATGCGGAGAGACAGAGGAGGTGCAGCGGAGAAGCATGGAGATGCTGGGGACCGGGGTGAGGGGTGGAACAGCAGCAAGAGGGTGTAAGAGAATGAATTTCCTGGGGAGAGGTGCTGTGAATCCCTTGACACCAGGAGATAATGACAGATTTTTGTTTTGTGTCTAGTAGTATCTGTGTGAACCTGTGCACGACCACCTCTGTGTGTGTGTGTGTGTGTGTGTGTGTGCGCGCGCGCGCGAGCACGCGCCCTACAGGAGGCTCTCTGGACACTAGAAATAGCAAGGCTGACCCTCTAGGTGGCTTTTATGATGTGAGGAATCAGCCAAACCTAGATGAGAAGGACAAGGGACATTTTTTTATTTTTTTTAAACAGCCTTCCCCACTCTTAGGTGTGAATCTCTGGACATTAGGGAGTCTCAGAGTTCTGCTTGTCTGCCTCCAGGGACAGGATGCTCACTACCTAACCAGACCTCCTGGTCTGTCTTTAGATAGCTCTGACTTTAAAAATGGAAATTAGTCCATATTGGGAGGGGAATTCTGATAGCCCTGATAATCCCAAGTACCCTGCATCCCTCTCCTTGATGCCCACCTCTGCTTTCCTTAGCTCCATGTCTTAGCATACCATCAACTCCGGCAATGGGGTTTTGGCCTCCAACAGGCCTTGAACCTGTTTTTGCCGAGTACCAGTGACTTCTTTGATACCAAGTCCATTGACCACTTATCAGGCCTCATCCTCCATTACCTTTCAGGGACATATGACCCTGATGACTTCTCTCTTCTTTAAACCCTCCCCTCCTTGGTTCCCAACATGCCTCCTGCCTCTACCGCCACCCCCCCCCCCCCAGAACACCTCTGGATGTTGTTTCTCAGCCTCCTTACAGACCCCTCCATTCTCCCACAACCCCTCAACAGCAGGGTTCCTGGGCCCCACCCCAGTTTCTCTTCTCTTCTTTTCTTTCTTTCAACCTCACCTGAGGATATTTTTCCATTGATTTTTTCTTTTTTTTAGATACAGTGAAAAGGAGGGAGGAAGAGAGAGAGAGAGAGAGAGAGAGAGCGAGCAGCAATGTGAGGGAAACACATGGATTGGTTGCCTCCCGAACAACCCCAACCAAGCCAAGGCCGGGGATTGAACCTGCAACCCAGATATGTGCTCTTGGCCAGAATTGAACCCGCGACTCTTCAGCCTGTGGCCAACACTCTAACCACTGAGTCAAACTGGCCAGGGCTCTTCTCCTCTTTCTTACTCTCCACCTCCCCAGTGTCGGCTATAGCTATGTGTTTACGACATCCACATCTACACCTGCAAGCCAGAACCTGCTCCTCAAAGGCAGCACCTAATATGTGCCTGAGCACCAAGCTGGGCACCAAGGACACAGAGACAAAAGGTGTGATCAGAGATATAAGTAGATCCATAACTCTAGTGAGTGAGGCCAAGGCTTTGATGTTGGAGCCACCACAACTGTGGTGGCCTCACCTTCCCCCATTGTGCTCCTTCCTGTATTCTCCATCAGAGATGGCACTGCCATCCACCCTGACACTCAAAGCAAATAGAAAGCTGTTCTTGGTGCCTTCCCTTATCCATTCTACTTTGTCCCAGGTGCAGTGCTGAGCAGTTCCCATAATCCTCCCAACTTCATAGCAGCTACTGCTATTGTCCGGAGTGTACAGATCAGGAAACTAAGGCTTAGAATGGTTAAATAATGAATCCAGGTTCACAAGGTTAGTAAAGGGCAGGGCTGGGACTCTCACTTGAATTTTGTTTTTTAACTTGACCCAAAATTTAAATTAAATAAACAATACAGATAAACAAAGGTAGGAAGGGACAAGGGCCCAACATGGCAAGAAGTCCATGGTCGGTCAGAAGGCTCAGCCTCTTCTCCGTTCAACATTGGTGCACTCTTGAGAAGGTATTGGTAAAAGTTCGTCTTCTGGGACTAAATTCATACCTGTTTTCACAGCGGCCCTGGCACCAGGCCTGATGGAGGGAGGGTGCAGGGCACTCAGCTGAGTCTCACTTGCATTTTGAAAAAATATGTTTATATTGATTTTTTTTTTTTTTCAAAGAGAAAGGGAGAGAGAGAGATGGAAACATCAATATGAGAGAGAAACATCCATCAGCTGCCTCCTGCACATTCCCTACCAGGGATTGACCCACAACCTGGCATGTGCCCTGACCGATAATCAAACCAGGACCCCTTAGTCCATGGGACAACGCTCAATTCACTGAGCCACACTAGCCAGGCTCACTTACATTTTTTAATTACAAAGTCCATTTTTGTAAAACCACAATGTTACAGCTTCTCCCTAAATGGCCAAATCCAGGGCTGCCTCTTGAGTCCTCTCCATTGCCACCACCTTGGTTCTGCGTTCACCTGGACCATCAGAACAGCCTCCTCTCAGGTCTTCCCACCTGCAGCCACTTTCCTTCACATCCATCTTTTGCCCCAGCTGTTAGTGTCATTGTCCCCAAAATCAATGCACCAGTAACTCCACACCCCATGGCTCCCTGATTACACCACCATCACCTCATCTCTCCTACCACTTCCTTTCCTGCACCATGAACACAAGGCCTTAACCACACCAAAGAGTCACGGGTCCCAAACACCTCAAAGTCTTTCACTGTGTCATTTCCTCTGCCTGGTACACTGTTTCACCTTTCTCTGGCGGTCACTTTCAAGGCCCAGTTCAGGCCTCACTCAGCAGTCTAGGCGACAATGTTATGAGGTGGGGGCTGAGTCTGTTTCCCCACCAGACCAGACTGGGCCTGACTCTCATCTACTTCTCCCCAGCAACAACACAAGGTCAGGCACAAAGTAGGTGTTCACTAAAAATCTAAATGACTGAGTGAGTGAATGCCATATTCCCTCATACCTTTACCCAGGCATAAAGACAATAAGAATAAGCTCCATGAAGGCAGGGATTTTTGTTTGTTTTGTTCACTGCTGGTTCTCCAGTGGCATTATGGCACCTGGCACATAGTAGATGCTCAATAAATACATATTTGTTAAATGAATGTATGAGTGGAAAGTGTGCAACTCAAATCTGGCTATGATTCTGACGATGGACACAGACACACACGCTACAACAACAATGGTAATTCCTCTCATTGTTCAGGGATTTTGAACTCGCCACATCTACGATCTCTTGAAGTCCATCCAATAACTCTATGAGGTGGGTTGCTGGACCACGCACTCACCTCCTGTGCAGTCTCCCTGCCTGAGTGGCCTTTATTTATTTATTTATTTTTCCTTTATTGATTTTAGAGAGAGAGGACTAGAGGAGAGAGAGATAGAAGCATCGATGAGAGAGAACATCGATTGGCTGCCTCCTGCATGCCCCCACTGGGGATCGAGCCCACAACCTGGGCATGTGCCCTGACCGGGAATCAAACTGGCGACCTCTTGGTGCATGAGTCGATGCTCAACCACTGAGCCACACTGGCCGGGCCTGAGTGGCCTTTTAAAAGCATCGGTATAACCAAGCCGGCCTCTGCTCAGAAACTCCCAGTTCCCCGAGGCTCAGATTTCCTAACTTGACTCCCCACTTTCACACACACCACCATTCCTCACATTCCCTGCATTTTCCTACCTCCACTTGCTGCCTTGTGTTGTTCCCGACCCTGGGACACCTATCCTCTATATCCTCAATTCCAACTCCTACTCTTCTTTCAGGATTTAGCTGTTGGAATCTTTCTTGAGCCTCCTGAAGCTGGAGGGAAAGCTTGTTAAATATACAGATTATCAGGTCTCTACCCTGGAAATTTTGATTCAGGAATCTGGGCTGGAGCCCAGAAATCTTGTTTTTAACAATCACCTCTGGCAATTCTTATTTTCAGTCAAGTCTGGGAACCACAGTTTATCAGGTAGGCAAGGCTAAGGCTAGGTTATGCTGTGTAAGAAACATCCCCCAGCCCTGGCCGGTTTGGCTCAGCGGTTAGAGCGTCGGCCTGCGGTCCTGAGAGACCCGGGTTTGGTTCCCGCTAAGGGCACGTACCTCGGTTGCAGTTTGTCCCCGGCCCTGGTCGGTTTTGCGGGTGGCAGCCACTCGATGTGTTCCTTTCACATCGATGTTTCTCTCTCTCTCTCTGTTCCTCTCTCTCCCTCCCACTCTACCTGAACAAAAAATGGAAAAATGTCCTCTGGTGAGGATAAAACAAACACACACACACACACACACACACACACACACACACACACACACACAAAAGAAACATCCCCCAAATCTCAGTACTCAATACAACAAAGCTCTATTTTTGCAGTAGTTTTGGGTTACTTTCCAGAGCATCAGTCCTTCAGAGAAGACTCAGTGCTTCAGGTAGAGAAATCTATACACAGCTTATCAATATGCTGGACTCTGAGTGCCTCTTATACAAGGATTCCATCTCATTAATCTCTGCCTCCCCATGGTCGGCACCTGGCATAGGATCTATCACACCTTCTGTGTTCAGGAACAAAAGAATGAATACCCATTTTACCTATTCCCCCACTAGCCAGTTTTTATTGAGACTCTACTCTTTGTACCAGGATTATGCTCTGGTGCTGAAGATACAGTGGTGAGCAAAACAAACATCAGCCTGGCCCATGGGGCCAGTTACCTAATTTTTCTAAGCCCTAATTTCCAAATCTGTAAAATGGGTGATATTACTCATCCGTCAGGCAAAATGTGAAAGGATTTACTGAGAAAACGAGCATGGAGGCCATTTGTAAATTGAAAATCCCAATCCCAGCAGACGAGAATGAGCACTGCTATTGTGGGGTGTGGCGGGTG